TGTTATAGGAGAATTTTCTGCTAAGTAAATTTCCGATCTTATTCCCCAAAGGTTTGTGTGTCCTGGGGACTCTGCCAGCTTCCCCAACTCCACAAGAGTCAGGGTACAAAAATGAAAACAGCCCCAGGGCTCTAGTTTAGCTGGCTTTCTGACTTTCACATGGCCTTCACCCTTCCTTGTTGTTTAGGGGAATACCAGACTAATGAGAAGAAGTTTCTTCTTAAGGGGGCAATGATTGGGTTCAAGTAAGTGACTGAAGCTTCTGTAGGAAAACTTGCAGGAATCCATCCATCCCGTGCAGTCTTACTAAAGGTAGATAGAAGGATGGCGAAGAAAGAACCAAGACTTACAAAGCCCTTATTTTGTGCTAGGTACAGTGCTGATGTTTTATATGTCCAAGTACTTTTATTCCATACCAAACTATTATGAGATTTGTTCTCATTTCTACTTACAAGAAAGACTGAGATGTGGTTTATATAACTTATCCAAAGTCAGATAGCTAGCAAGAGGCAGAGGTAGGATCTGAAGCCAGGTCTGTTAAACTCCAAAACCTCCATCTTTGTTTGCTAATACATGGTCGTGAAGCATCACGACCATCATGACAGCATCAGCTGTCTCTTGGTGGCTCTGAAAAATCTCTGGATTTTCTGGAAGAAACCACCAGGTTTCTTCCAATTTCTGATGTCACCCAGATAGGACGTGTGACCAAGGAATGTTGACTATTTCCAGAGAAAGCCTACTAGAGGCACAGAACTAATAGTGGGGAGGTGAAGGAACCTCGCTAAAACAAAGACCTGAAGAGTGGCAAAAACCATGGCTTTGGGACTTCCTCATATTATCAGGGGGAAGAGAGCCTATTTATAAGTGCTAATGAAGCTGGGGTTCAATTTCACCAGTATTAATTATCCACAGAGAATTAACAGCTGCTGAGGATCCCCCCACCCGGTATGGCCAAGAGTTGGCATTCCGTGTGCCCAGCCTTGGTGTTTTGAGTTTAGTCTTTTGAAGGTCAGTGCCCTCTGGAGGTTGAAGTCAGAGAAGCAAATGCAAGAGAGAAAAGGGACCAAGAGTTTCCTGCCTCTGCTCCTTCTGTAAATCCCTGCCTTGAAGTACCTTAGAAGAACTAAGTTTGGGGGACTTCATAGGAATGAATGTTTTTTTCTAGTGTGACCTGAGTGTGAAATACTGTGGAACCACTGGGCTAGTTCCTCAAATCTGAGCCCCAGGTGCTGTTTTGTTTCCCATGCTGGATCTTCCCATGCGCTCTATCCTATTTGCCTGTCTCCAGCTAATGAGGCCTCAGGAATAACCCTCCTCCATGGCAGATTCCCAGTGAAAAAGCAGTACCACTACACATGGAAGACTCAGTGCGAGTGTCGGATGTTTTCTTTGTTAAGAGACAAGAAGGTAGGGGGCGCCTGGGTGGCTCAGTCCGTTAAGTATCTGCCTTCCACTCAGGTAATGATTTCAGGGTCCTGGGATTGAGCCCTGCATTGGGTTCCTTGCTCAGCAAGGAGCCTGCTTCTCCTTCTCCAGCTCCCTCTGTTTGTGCTTGCTCAATCTCTCTATCAAATAAATAAATAAATAAAAATCTTAAGAAAGAAAGAGAGAGAGAAAGGAAGGAAGGAAGGAGGGAGGGAGAGAGGGAAGGGAAGGAAGAGAGAAAGGAAGGAAGGAAGAAAGAAAGAGAAAGAAAAGAAAAAAAAGAAGGTCTGGAGAGCAGATATAGATTAGTTCTATGACTCCGTTCCTGCCTGGCAGTCCCAAGGCAGTGGTGGCAGGGGCTGGAGAGAAACCAACTTACCATGTGTGACCACCTACTGAGTGCCAGGCCCTACTTTAACTCACTGATTTCCTTAAGCAAAGGAGTGCTATCCCTTGGTTCTTTTAAAACCCTTGGTTGAATTTATTTCTAAATGACCAATTTGTCCCTTAAATAGGATGGCCCATAGTAGGAAGAGGTGAGAGCATAGAGCAAGGAAATGAGTGATAGCACAATCCCAGTGGGGTGAGGCTGACAAATTTTGTGCCTGTGGTTTGGGCGGAGGGGCTTGAGAGGGATTCCCAGTCTCTAAGCCTCCTGCTTTTTCTTCCCAGCAAGAGTGATTCAGGAAGGTCAGACTTACCATTGGGTCTAGGATGCCTTTGCTACTAATCTGGTCCTGACTCCGAAGACCCATTTGGATAGCTGGGCTCTGATTGTGCTCCTCAGTCTCAGATCCGTGCCTTTTGCCTGTGGTTGAGACCTTGATGTGGCAACTAAAGCAGACAATTGATGTCCTCACTTATGTCCCCCCAGCCCGTGCCATTTCTGAGTTCACTGGTTCAACTTGCAATCACCAGCACCTGTGTCCACTTGCCTGCTGGCTTCCTCCAGAGGAAGGAACCCATTCTGGCCGTGTGCAGAGCAAGCCAGAAGTGCCGGGTGCTTGATGTCTCCCTCCCTGGTAGTCTTCAACCCATAACTGTAGGAAATCCAATACCTTGACAGAATGTAAACACAACGTGAAACCCAGCGTATCTCTAAGGTCATGCTCAGCGACGATGTTTAGAAGGTTTGCTCCCTGAGAATGCCCACGAGTGTCCTCAAGACAAAGACTGAGCCTTTACTAGTACTGCAAATCCAATGTCAATTTCTAATAACAGTTCTCTGAAAATCGCTGCTGTGGTGTTCAGCAAAATGGCCTAGCAGTCATTGGAATCTAGTTTCAGTGGGTTTAACAGACTGTAGTTTTTTCCCTGCAATCCTGGTCACTCAGAATAGGTTTTGTGTTCGTTATCTCTTGTCATGTAACAAATTACCCCAAATCTAGTGGCTTAGAACGATAATCATTTATTGTCTTTCACAGTTAGTGTGGGTTGGGAACTCAGGAGTGGCTCCTCTGAGTGGTGATCAGGGTCTCTCATTAGGTTTTCCTCAGGCGTTGGCCAGGGCTGCAGTCATTGGAAGGCTTGATTGGGGTTGAGGATCCACTTCCTTAAGGTTTTTATTTGTTTTTTATTCATGAGAGGCAAAGGGAGAGGGAGAAGCAGGTTCCCGCTGAGCAGGGAGCCGGATGTGGGGCTCGATCCCAGGACCTTGGGATCATGACCTGAGCTGGAGACAGACGCTTAACCCACTGAGCCATGCAGGCACCCCAGAGGATCCACTTTCAAGGCTGCTCACTTCCATGCCTCCCTGTAGGTGAAATGCTCCGGCTGTTGTTCCTGTCAACCTCTCTGGAGACTTACTTGAGTGTTCTTATGGCCTGGCGGCTTCCGTGCCCTGGAGTGAGTAATCTAAGAGGCCGAGGTGGGAGCGGCAGTGTCTGTTCTGACCTCGCCCCTGAAATCACATCCTGTCCTTTCTGCTTGATTCTGTTGCCCATGGATTCAATGAAGAGGGAGACTACAGAAGGGCACAGAGAGGCTGGCTAGGGGCCACTTTGGAGGCTAGTGAACATGGACTTCTAGGGTGAAGTTCATTCAGCCCAGTGTTTTAGGTGAGAAACATAGGGGACAAGATTCAAATTACATTGGGAAGTGCCTGTTGACCGGACAGCAAGAGACATTTAAAATGTTTTTCTTGTTTTATCATTCCCCATAATGCTATCTATGACAACAGAGAATGATGGGTAACCTGTTTGTCGAACATTCTGGAGCCCCCAGTCAAGCTTTGCCCTAACATGGAGGTGAAAACCTCTGAGAAATGGATAAATGAGTCGCACTTGAGCAAAACAGAGAGTTTTGTTTTTGACGAGGAAGAGTCAGCCCTCAGATGACTGCCTTCCTTATAAAACCCTAAAATCCATAAACGTGCAGAGATGTAAGTCAGAACCTTGAGCCCAAGAGTCAGGCTAGGGCAGGGTCTGGGTACTGTTACCTGCAGGCGTGTTCTGGGCCAGGATGTGGCTGCACAGTGGAGCCCTTTTTTGTGCTCAAGCCAGATGGAGTCCACCGGCCTGACCGCTTCAGGGCTCATTTCCTGAATGGGAAGCTTCTACCACCTGGTGGACAGATCTCTCCAAAACAAACAGGCCCCATGCCTCCAAACCTGGAACCCTGTGCTGAGAGGCCGAATGCTGGAGAACAGAGACAAACCATGGACATATCATTAGCAGTAGCAAATACCATTGCTCCAAGACCTTTTTACATCCATTAACTTCCTGCTCCCAGAGATCAAGCTCCCCCTGCAGGAATGGAGGAAAAACCAAACGGAGCCAAAACCCCCCAAACCTAAGGAGGCAGCATTGAAAGGACTCAGGGAAGGAGAAATGACAGCAGTAGGCATGCTGAGCCTGATCTCTTAGTCATGGACATGGCCTGAAAACCCCACTCGGACCTTATGGTGGTCCTGTGAGCCATTCAAACGTTCAGTGCTATGTTGTCATCTGTTAAAATACAGTCTCTGTTCCTTCTCCACAATAAGTTTGTGGGTTTTTTTGAAGATTTTATTTACTTATTTGACAGAGATCACAAGTCAGCAGAGAGGCAAGCAGAGGTGATGGGGGGAAGCAGGCTCCCCACTAAGCAGAGAGCCTGATGTGGGGCTTGATTTCAGGACCCTGAGATCATGACCTGAGCCAAAGGCAAAGGCTTAACCCACTGAGCCACCCAGGTGCCCCTCCACAATAAGTTTCTGAGGCTGTTAGCATTTGCCTCTGGCAGCTCTAGTTAACATGGCAAGCCCTCCCTCTTTCCCTCTCCTGCTTTATTTATTTTTTCCATAGAGCTTATGACTGTCTGGCATTGCATCCTATGTCCACATACTTGTTTCTTTTCTGATGATCTCTAAAGGTGCATCTCTAAAGGTATAAGATCCACGAGAACAGGAATTTGGTCTGTTTTGTTCTTTGCCCTATTCCCAGAGCCTAGTAAATGCTGCATAAATAATTGCTGAAAAATAACTTTTGCCTCGAGTCAACTATGCGAGGTTAAAGGACTTTCCGCAAGGCCATTTGTGTCCAAAGGTGGTGCGCTTTTTATCATGTTGTGTTGCCTGCCTCTGTTTTCCGTGACAGGAGCCCAAAGGCTAGATTTTAGGAGACCGAGGCCCCAATGTCACAAAGATGGAGAATAATGGAGGAGCTCCCACTAGAACCCAGGTCCTCCGGGATTTGGTTACTCAACCTGGATTCTGTTGCCACGGACAAGCTAAGGATTTTTGTCCCAGTATGTAAATGTAATAGGTTCAGAAGCGTCCTCTTGCTTTTCCTGCTGTGGCTGATTTGCCCCTCGGTTGGTTCATGGGTCCCTCAGGGCTCTTCGGGCAGAACTCAGCATTATTATGCTCCACACTAATGCCCGTATTCCACCTCCATCACACACATGGCAAGCAGGGAACGAGCTTGAAAGCAGGTACACATGACTACTCAAATGTCTCTCTCTAGGTCTCTACACCGGAGCAGCTTCTGTCTACAGCTCTGAGCGAAACATCTGAATCCGTGCAGGGATCAAGTCTTATGAAAGTTGAGACTAGATCTCGTTTGTCTTGGGTGTGTCTTTTCAGGGTTATATGATGATTTGTCATCCACTTTGGCCTGACCAAATGTTTTCTTCTTTGCCCACACCTGGTTGTCTTCTTTGCCTCTCTGCTCTTCTCTCTCCTGAGGGCTGAAAGTCGCTGTGAGGATGGAAAACACCCAGCGAACCCCCAGGAGCTTTGGTTGCCAAGTTATGGAAGCCACAGCAATCGCTCCCTGATGGCTGTTTGCTCATAGAGCCAAGAACGACCAAATATATCATCCGGGAGTCGACCCTCACAAGCAGACAGATTGGTCCAGCTTCCATCTCTGAAACAGCTTGCTGGGGGCATCTGTTTCTTTCGAGAACAAACCCATGTTTATACCCAAATGATGCAGTCCTATGGGTTCCTCCTGGATGAGGGCCGAAGCCCATGAGCCTTTGGTACTCATTTGGTGGATTTGTTACCCTGGACTCACCTTGCCCATCACTGTTGGGGTGAACTTCTCCCTCTGCTCCATGCCTTAGGAGTTGACAAAAACAGCATTGTCTGACCAAGTAGTTAAGAATTGTACCAATCAGACAGAAAATAAATGAAGGATTTTTTTAAATTATTATTTATTTATTTATTTATTTGTCCCTGGATCACGTGGCATCAAGTGACAGCACTGTTAAATTTTCCCCAATAATTTGTCACATTTCCATGTTGTTTTTTCCCCTTTGGTAAGACAGTATAAAAGGAGAAGAATCAATGGAAAGAGCTCATGAATCTTGGAATGTGGGTTCAAATCCCAGATCTGCCATTCACTGACTCTGCACCCTTGAGCGAAGTGGCTAACTTTTCAAAATCTCCTTTTTTGTTTTCATCTGTAAATCGGGCACAGTAACAACTATCTTGCTGAGTCATTGTTAACTGTTTGAATAATGTGAATATAGAAACTGACAGTGCCTGGCAGATACCAAAGTCTTCATATGTGGCAGTGAATATCATTATCATTATCATTATCATTATTATTTACTTGTTAAGTACCTATTATGTGGGTCAGGATTAGAGCAGCCACAGTCTGATGGAAAGTGGAGAGAAAGCCAGTGGAAATCTTTGTCACTGCCAACTGTCGTGTTCCTCAGACAACTCAACTTGACGGGGCCTACATTTTTAGAAGTGGATGAAAATGCCGTTCTCCTCACTAAAAACTGGAGAGTTGGTATTTTGGAGAGCACACTGGCCCAGATACTGTACTAGGTTTTACTGAAATGTAACCTCACATCTCACACTCCTTGACTGTCACTCAGAATTTATGTGTAAGGAATCAGAATTCCAGAGACGTTGACTGATTTAGGTAAAATCATGACCCTAGTGAGTGGCAGGGTTGGAATCAGAGCCTGGATTTTTTTTGACATTCGTTTACACAGGATTTATAAAATGAGATATTGTATTAGAACTTAATAAACACTAGGCTTATTATTACAAGCATATGTCAAGCTCTCACAGATTATGTTATAAATACAGGGTGAGGTGAGTGGGATACAGAGAAAACAGGAAATAAAACTTGACTTTGAGGGATTGAGACTCTCATAGGGAGCTTGCATTCTTTGGCATGCAAAACTTGCCTTCCTAAAATAGAAATGATGTTCTTGTTAAAAAAAAATTTTTTTAATGCAATTAGTATTTCATTAGGAGAAGGAGAAAGTATAAGGGAGGCTACCCCAAAGTGCTGTGCAGATCAAATGAAAGAATATTTACAAGAGAGCTTGGAAAATAAAGCGCATGCTTTAGACACAAGGCATTGTTGTTGTTCTATATTATTATTAAACACCACTGCTGCATCTATGGTGCTGCAGTCCTTGCAGAGAGAAGACTGAAAGATAGTGCCCCCTGGAAGACAAGAAGCACCACAGAGTTCAGAGAAAGACCCACCACGGTAATGTTCACAGACTGAAACTCAGAGGTTCCTAGGCTAAAACCAAGGACCTTGGAGATGATTCATCGTCATTGGCATTTGAAGTGTAGACCCAATGTATTTGAAAGGTTCTTAATTCATCCAATTTATCTTGGAAGGGTGAGGGTGGGTACGAAGGGTACAGGTAAGTTCTATCTCTAAAAGAGGAGACTGAAGTCCCCTGATATGCTCAGAGTCAGATAGGAAGGGTGAGGTAGAGACCAGACATCTCCCAGTTTGGTTAATGAGAGTGGAAACAAGAGTGCAGAGGCAATCCCTCTGTTTACTAGTGACACAACTGTAGACAAGTTATGCTGAACCTTTCAGAGCACCATTTTTTTTTTTTTTCATCTGTAATAGAAGGGTAGAGAAAAAAGCATCAGGGACATCTTTGGGGTTGGTTGGGGGAAAGTGAAATAGCACAGATAAAGATACACCTGATACAGAATTGTGTTTCTTTCTACCATCTCTGTCAGCTGTGATTATGAATTTAACCCCATCTTTTCCCAGTGAATGCAATTAAATGGCTCACATTTTACAGTCTAGGAGGAAAGAAAGATTGTATTTCTTTCTTAACTGGAATAAAAGTGTAACCTGCTTCAAAGGCTGGGCTGGTGGGCTTTATTTATATATTTTCAGTAATGATCACAATGTCTAAAACATAGAAGCTGCTTCAAAAATATTTACGAACCTGAAAATATCAGCAGGCTGTTAATAAAACTTCAAATTATCTCTCCATCTGCTCTATGCCAATTTTGCATTAGAATTATTAACCTAATATCATTTGAGAGAGTTCTGTTTCTAGTTTGGTTAAGTAGTTTCTATTGAGCCAACTCTCATAAAGATAAAAACTGTGAATTCTGGACAAAAGATTGGAAAAATCCAATTACCTGAAGGCACTAGAGAGTGAATAAAAGTGCACAGATAGTGGAGACAAGTCGATTTATGGACAAAGTGAAGGGCCCTGGGTACATTACCCTCCTGCCCTTTTTTTCTAATAGCTGTCAGCCTGAGGACAAACCCAAGTCTGTGGCTTGTGGGGTGAATAGAGCAAGTGGTAGATGATATCTTACTGGCTTGAGGAAGAGAAAATCCTTAAAAGGAAAGGATCAGAAAGGGAAAGCCCGAGAAACTAGAATAGCCTAGGAAATCTAGGAAAGCCCCAAATTCTAGTTTCTAAACTGCCTAAGTCTCTGACTGATCTCTGAATCATGCACGCACAGGAATCAACTTGACAAAAGTATCAGTACTCTTCAGAGGAACATAACAGACTCCAGATTCTCCATAATATATTTTTTGTAATGTCTGGGATATAATCCACAAATAATTGGATTATGAAAAAATAGAAGAACATCATCTATGTATAAAAAAACCCAAATTATAACATTGTAATATAGAACTTTTAATGTATGTAGATGTAATACATGTTAGAACTATAGCATAAGTGATATGGATTTCTATACTTCATATGAAGTAGTATGATATTATCTTGAAGTTGGCTTTGACAGATTAAAAATGTATTTTGTAATCTCTACAGCAAACACTAAAAACATAATGTACTAGGTATGGACTAAAAAGGCAATAAGTAAATTAAAATGGAATTACAAATTATCTTCATTTGGTTCAGATATGAATTCTACTGCAGATGTTCAGACCCATCCAACAGCAGTCTCAGATTATAACCACAAAACAAAAGGGTAGCAAAATCCAGCTGTGAGCATCCAAAACAGCTCCCTAGAGACCTGACTCCTTCTAGCCTTAATGAGAACAAGAAGGAAAGAAACAGAATTCAGAAGGGACATCCCAATTTAAGGATGTGAACAAAACTGGGGACACATAAACAAAAATGGGCAGAGTCACAGGAGTGGAAGTTGGGAAATGCATAGAAGCTCAGTTCTCTAAATGATAAGAGTGGGTCTTAAATGTGTTAAGTCTGATTTCTGCAGCTGATTGCCCTGGGATTGAGAGAAGGCTGGTAAGGCTTTGGGAGGTAAGTGCCAGTCACAGCCAACCACAACCAGCACTTGGGACTAATATGAGTAAACAAATGGCTAAGCATATTGCTGACTACATTTCTAAGATGTTGCTGGAAGAAAGAAAAGGGCAAAACAACATTCTTGACTCTCTTCAACCTGGTAATTTTGCACCTGTGTTGGTGTGTTGCAAAGCAGGGGAAGTTGCACAAACTTCTTGCTTCGAATCCCTCAGCTTATCCAGATCACATACTCAATTAGCATACAATTTCCAAGTCAACATTGGTCCTTTCGAAATCAATAGCTGTAAGGGAATGAAGGTGCCTGGGAAGTCCATACTAAGCCAGCCCCAAATTCCACATTATTTTTGTCTGAACAAGTCATCTTAATGCCTGAAGATGTTTGGGGATACAAATTAAACTGGGAACTTCAAATCATGTGTGAACATATTGGAAACTCCTTCATATAATTCTCTAGGGCGTATACATCTGACTCAGTCCTAAAGGTAAACAAGTCTTGCCTTGGTTCTGATTCAGCACCCATAAGAGGAGATAGTGTGAGAATATAACTCTTTACAAAAAGAACTGTGATTTGAGCGGTGTCTGGGTGGCTCAGGCAGTTAAGTGACTCTTGGTTTTAGCTCAAGTCATGATCTCAGGGTCTTGAGGTCAAGTTCCTCAGTGGACTCCATGCTCAGTGGGGAGTCTCCTTGGATTTTCTCCCTCTTCTCCTGCTCACTCACACTCTCTTTCTCCAAAATAAACAAATCTTTTTAAAAAAGAATTATGATTTGAGAGAGAATTCCTTATTGGGAGTGGGTGAAGAGGCTGAGATAAATAGTAAAATAAGAATGTGGGTAGAGAATAAGGTGGTGTTTGCCAGACTGGATGGGCAATGAAGGGATGAGTGGCACAGGTGAAGGGAATTAAGAGGCACTTCCAGTTATAAAGTAAATAAATCACAGAGATGGAAGGCAGAGCACAAGGGAATATAGTCCATAATATTTTTACAATGTACGGTGACTACATTGATAATGACAAGCATTTGGTAATGTCTATAGCTGTTGAAACCCTATGTTGTACACCTGAAACTAATATAATATTATGTCAACTATACTTCAGTATTTAAACACACAAACACACACACACACACACACACACACACACAACACACTATTCTGGAAGTTTCTACTAAAAAAGATAACAATGTAGGCCTTCAGATTTTACAGGAGGACACAAGAGACAAAATATGGTCTAGGTATGTGAGCTTTTATATAATTGGGTTCTCTAAATGAAAGACTCTGGAAGTGCTGGATGGGAGATGCTGTTGAGACTGTGTAAGTGAGCAGGAGCCCTGGGATAGGGTCAGGTGAGTGAGGCATACAGTTTGAGGGAGTGCCAAAAAAAACTCAAGAATCAAGAATCAAATAACCAAGAAGTATTTTAATCAAAAATACAAATTGTATCACAATATGCAATCAAATTTCATGGAAAAAAAAACAGATTAGTGAAAAGAAAGGGCACCTGCATCTCAGTGTTCATAGCAGCAATGTCTGCAACAGTAGAAGGAGCGAGATGCCCTTCAACAGATGAATGGACAAAGAAGATATGGTCCATATATATAATGGAATATTACT